TCCCAGGGCGCTGGGCAGGACCGCGGAGCTCGGGCCTCTGGACATGGTCCCGCCGGCCGTCGGAAGATGGGAAGACAGGGATGAGGGACGGCCTCCCGACCCCGCGACAGCTCCCTCCGTGCTCAGAAGCCCCTGAGAGTTCTCCGTATCTGCAACCTGCGGGAGACCTCTCGGGCCCGGTACGCCCTACCCTTGGTTCGCCACCTTGCCCCTCGAGTCCTTGTCCAGGTCCTCCGCTTCTTGCAGTTAAAGAAATTGTAAGAGAGGGGGTGCTTCTTTAGTTGAAGCTTTCAGAGGCCTCCCGGGAGCGCAGGGTAGCGCCTCTGTTTTTTTTTTCTTGCTTTCTTGGAGGTTCTTACAAGAAGGCTGCGTTCCGGGAGCGGCCCCTCCCACTTTCCCGGTCCGCAGCGTTACTTACAAGGCTGCAACTTGACCGGGTGCAACTTCCTAGCGAGCCTCCGCCCCGCCCCTCGTGACGCCGCCTGCAGGCGGGCCCCCGCCTGCCCCAGCTCAGCCCGGGAGCTCCGCTGAGCTGCGCGCCGCCGCCTCCAGCTCCCCTGCCGCAGCGCGCCGCAGCCGGGCCTCCCCGCGCGGGCGCCGGAGAGGAAGGAAGGCTGGCAGCCTCGTCACGTGTCCGCTGCAGTCGCGAAACAGGTCTGATCAATTTCTGTTTACGTCTGCCTGGACTGCGCGCCTATCGATTATAGACTTTGCACAAACGGAGGACAAGGAAAATGCATGCTGCGTGTCCTTAGATTTCTGGGTTGTGGATGGGAGGAGTGCTGGTGCAAAAACCGGCCTTGCCGGGATATGGTCGCAGGCTAATTTTAAACATCAAGGCCAGCCCACACTTTGGACAGGTTCACTGCAACCTGGACCCTTGGCCAAACCGAGGGAGCCTCGCTGCGTAGAGGAGCAGCGTCATGTCCACATCACCCAGAATGCTTTGCCGCACCAAATGGCCAGCAGATTCCCTTGAGGGTGGGGTGGGGAGGTGCTGCTGTTGTCTTCCTGGACTCAGCGCCAGAGAGGAAGACAGGGGAACAAGAGTTATTACCCGGTGATGACTTCTGCAGCTGCCCCTAATCAGCCTCTGGCGCTTGGGAAGCATGTTTGTAGGCAGAATCTCCGAAACAAATCTTTTAGCTTTGTTTCCAAGCAAGTCAGAAACACCAACAAGGCCTGGAGCTTGTTTTCTGCCTCTTTAGTACACTGCAAGCATTCGTGTCTCTCACCCAGTAGCTTTGAGCACAAGACCCCACAGCCTTTGGTGTAAAGCTTACCAGGTGAAATGAAGTGGAAAAGATGCAAGTGCACTTTCCAGAGAGCAGTTTGGGACAAGGCATTCCATTAAGAAGGTTCGTTTTTACTGTCCAGAAGGACAAAGCAGAAAAAAACCAGACAAATGAAAGGGGGTTGATTCAAGAACATTTTCTACGTCTAAAATGAGTCAAGGCTGTTGATTGTGGTATAATTCATTAAATGTGAGAGAGTGATTTTATTTATCATTGGATGTAAGCTAACTAAAAAGGCTTACATGATTATTGTGGAAAAAATACAGGAAATTTTCAGGAAGAAAGTAAAAATCTTCTGTAATCACATCTCTTATTTTACAGAGACAGGTGACATGGAAAAGAGAAGTACCCAATTTCCATTCAGTGCACTTTTAATAGGCCACTCAAAATGAGAAGGGAATAACAGCAATATGTGGTATGGGTCAACAATGTTTCACAAAGAGATAATATATAATATGTAATATATATGAATATATGGAAAATCTTATAATGGATTGATGTGATAGAGAAGGCCGAAAAATTGAATGGGAACATTCCTCCTAGAGTTTAAGCTCTTTCAGAACAGGGACATGCATAATCACTGCCATTTTTCTGGGTACTCCTGTAATTACTTGTTGAATGAATGAATGATTGGGCAATACAATGATTGAACACTGGAATAAGACCTGACATTATTGGCCTTCCAAATTTCTTCAACATGTTATTTCCAGGGAAGATTATACCTGTGTGTGAATAGGGAGAGAGAGAGAGAGAGAGAGAGAGAGAGAGAGATGGAATCCACTCACAGTATTTATAGTAGTGTGATCCTGTGATCCTGTCTCTGATATCTACTGTAATAAACAGAAAAGACAAAGCTGTAAGCATAAGACAATGTCTCCCTTCCCCAGTATTTCACAACTCAACCGCTATATGATCACAGCCCTAATATTTCAATATTATACAAGTATTAAAAAACAAATAAGTGAAAAACCAACCAATACTGGTGTTAGGACCATTTGCAATCAGTAGTTACTGACAATATTCTGTTGCTTCTAGTTCCGGTGGTGAGGAGACCTTTCCAAATATAAGAGGAATAAAGAAGTCACCTCCCCAGCTGTCATCATCTTCCAGCAGATTGAGCAAGAATATTTTGAGCACTACAGGAAAGGTAATGTCAATTTAGAAGAAAAATCTTACTTAGATTTATTCTGGGATTTTTGTTTGTTTGCTTGCTTGTTTCTTGTGTACGTGTTCACAGTATTTATTACTGCATCCCTGTTTTTTAGACAGTCCATCAAACCCTATATGATGATCAGCCATGTGATTTTTTCAAGAAGAGGAATAGGGTGAATGAATCTCATCAGAAAAGCAGGTAAATAGTTTTAGTATAATTGTTTTATCTTGCGAAAGGCTCATTATCTCTCTTGTCCAGATTGAATATGTGGAGTGGGGAAAAAAAGTAAGTCTATAGATAAGAAATATACATTTATATATTTTTTTCTAGCAGAAATGAGTGGAAAAGTGGTTTAAGCATAATAGTGGATAAGGATTCCAGTGGTCATAATTCTGGCAGTTGTTAGCAGAATTATAATTTTGAATAAATCCTTTAATGCTTTTCTATGTTAGTTTCCTTTTATATAAAAGGATACAGACAATAATTAATTTTTATGGATGCATATTGACAAGCAGAAACAAAATGTTTTAACAGTGTTATGAATTCTGAATAATGGAGATTCCTTCATTTTTTCATTCATTTATTCAACATTTATTGAGCACACATTGTACTATTGGCAATGATTTAATATCCTCCATATTTATTAATTAAAATGTAGCACGTATTCAAATAGTTGCTTAGTTTATCTGAAACCACTGGGCAAATGAACCTCTGAGGTTTCCAGAAAGCATGTTTACCACCCATTTCTGTTCATTCTATCTGACTTATATTACAGAGAAGTATTATTAATCAAAATGACACATTCTTGGTAAATAAATTGAAAAGAGAATATTTTCAACCCTGATGTGAGATTCGGCCTCAGAATAAATTATGCCAGAGAGAATTAGTTGCTATACTCATAATGCACACAGTATTCATTGTTCCCTTTACCTGCTATTCACAAGGTAGCACTAAGACCCTGTGTTTTCATTCATATGTGTTACAAGGCACCATATGATTTTATTTCTGTTCTGTAAACACAATTTTCCCAAATGTGTTTTCTGTTTGAAAACATTTTAACAAGCTTTTGATTTAAGGTACAGGTTTGTATGTGCAATACTTTTATATATTAAAATTTCCCTCAGCTCAGAATCACCACTAATCAGGAGTGATTAAACTGCAAAACTTGCATGTTATATCATATTTATACTTAATTTAAAATAGGTATATAAAATAAAACTGTTTTTACTTCTGAATGTTATTAAATGCTTTTGATTGTAACAATTCCAGAGTCTGCGACTGATTTTTTTCCGAACTAAGGTTTTTTTTTAAAGTACACACGATTGCACTAAAAGTATGAAACAAGCACTTTGAGAAATGTTTTTCCTAAACGCTAATATTTTATATAAAATGGAAACTGTGCGTTCTCTTTTGTCACATGCATTATATAATGTATCTCAAATAGAGTATTATATGGAAAAATGTTCTGTAAAATTATGCTGTAAGGAGTTTGGAGGCTGACATTTTCTAATGCCTAGTAATAGCTGAGACAAAAAAGTACAACTAGAAGATTATTTTTTGTTTGTTTAATTATAGCCAGACCATTTTTTGTCATACATGGTAAGAAGTGCAGTTTTGTTTTCTCATAGCAATATGAATGCTGGCCCATCTTGGAATAAAGTGCAACATTCAAAGAATTCTTCAGGAAAAAGGCAGAGTAAATCCCAAGTACCCCACGCTGCTTCTCAGCTGAGAAGCAGCCTCACAGCTGTCACCCAGCCAACTGAAGAAAAACTTAAAGAAAGCATTGCCCCAGAAGCAAGACGCAAAAGGAATCCACTCGGTTCCAGGTGTCAGGGGGCCTCAGGGAATAAATTGTTTCTTGATTTTCAGTCAATGAAAATTATTAAAGAGGATGCTGATGAGGACAGTGCAAGTGATCTCTCTGATTCGGAAAGAATTCCCATTCCTCCTTCTCCCCTCACACCTCCAGATCTCAATCTTCGAGCTGAAGAAATTGATCCAGTTTACTTTGATCTTCACCCTGGTCAGGGCCATACAAAGCCTGAGTACTATTATCCTGATTTCCTTCCACCCCCTTTCAGCTCCTGGGACTTACGAGATATGGCTCTGCTTCTGAACGCAGAGAACAAAATGGAAGCTGTGCCCCGAGTGGGAGGACTTCTTGGGAAGTATATTGATAGACTTATTCAGCTTGAGTGGCTGCAGGTCCAGACTGTACAGTGTGAAAAAGCAAAGGGGGCCAAAGCAAGGCCCCTCACTGCCCCTGGGACCTCAGGGGCACTGAAAAGCCCTGGGAGAAGTAAGCTAATTGCGAGTGCTCTGTCCAAGCCACTACCTCACCAGGAAGGGGCTTCAAAGTCAGGCCCTTCCCGAAAGAAAGCTTTTCACCATGAAGAAATCCACCCATCACATTATGCATTTGAGACTGCCCCCAGACCCACTGATGTGCTTGGTGGTACCAGGTTTTGTTCTCAGAGGCAAACCCTTGAAATGAGGACAGAAGAAAAGAAAAAGAAATCCAGTAAGAGTACGAAGCTGCAACGTTGGGATCTGTCCTGCAGTGAAAGCAGCTCTAAGGTGGAAACCAACGGTAACATTCGAATTCCCAAACAGGCAGCTGTGATTCTGGACTCAGCAGATTCCTGTAAAGCCTCCAAAACACAAGCACATGCACATCCTAGGAAAAAGGGAAAGGCAGAGAGCTGTGGTCATGCCACTGTATCGAGTGAGAAAAAACTGAAAACAAATGGAGTAAAGCAAAACACATATAAACTAAAATAAATACCTACAATGATGAATTGCCAAGACCTGCAGGTACCTCAATATTAGAGTTCTTCCAAAAGTAAAAATACTGTGAATTTTAAGGAATTTTACAATTACTGACATTTAAGTAGTTGATTGGCACTTTTGTCCACCTTTATTTCTACCCCTAGTGGAGATATTTTCAAAGAGAGGTGTCTTTCAATAAGCCTTTCTTTGTGTTGTCAGTCTTAGGCAAATGAGAGCCCTTCAGATAAAAATTACCTAAAACATGTGCCATATAAAGGAATAAGATGGCACCTCTCCAGGGAAAGTATGGGCGAAACCTGGGCTACAGTAGCCGGCCTGTGTAGAGCAGATAGTGGTGTTCTCTCTCCATTTTCACACGCACATAAGTATATAAAAGAGTGCAGACTGTTTCAAATGGTGTGGAATCCTAAATGTTTAAAATAAGGCTCTTCTTGCCCACTCCCTCTCTTACTTTTTTATAAACTCCTCAAGCAAAATTTCTGTTCATTTTACCCTTAGGAGAAGCTTTAGTTCTTCCTCAAGTCAGGGAGTAGTGAGTTTGTATTTTGAGTAGTAATTTATCACTAAGCTGGTTGCTCTTTAGAGACAGTGGAATCTAGTACTTTAATACATTTTCTCTGACTGGTTTTTTTTTTTTTTTTTTTTGGTGAGGGTGGCATTTTAAACTTAGAGGTGGTAGTAAAACCCACTTTTGAGTTCTCCGAACTGAGGTTAAAATAATTTTTAGAATTTTCCAAAGTCAATGGGCTTAGCATGATTACTGCTGTTTGGTGGGGCTGAGAATGAAATATTTGACACTCTGGAATTGCTGGCATGTAAGACTTCTCCAGAGAGACACCACAGGGAAATGACTCTTAACAATTTGTAAAGGAAGGGCCATAAAAGGATCAAAACATATGGACCTACATTCAATGTAATAGTTACAAAGTTACTGATTTGGGTTCCACACCCTGTGGTCCTTAGTCAAAAATAATGATCTGTTTCATTTTGCAAGAGCAGGATTTTATTATTTTGCTTGGGGTGAGGGGCGGAGAGTAGAATATGAATAAGGTTGCTGAATGAATTCTAAACTCCCTTATCTGGTCTTCAGGCTTCCGGACTCTCTCCAACCCTTCTTATTTAACTGCAGTTAAATATCTTCTTGTTCCTATAGTTGTGCTGTGAGCTTTCTGTTTATATTTGTGCAGTGTATTTTAATACTGCCCATGTCGTTATAGTTGATTTTATCCCTTTAAACAATTATTGTATTTGTTTTTGACGTAGAGGTTTCAATTTTTTCACCTTTGGGGCAAATGAAAAACTTGGCATTTTTCATTTGGGAATATATAATAGCTTGTAAACTTTTCAGACAGCAGTAAATGTCTGAAAAAATATCAAAAACAGCATAAAGACAAGATTATGTAGCTATAATTATATGTATATAATTATAAAAAGCAATGTGCAAAGGTTACATTTTAAGGTCTTTCAAAATCTGATTTTAATCATACCAAATGACATAAAATTTTTTATGGGAGGCTTTTTCTTTCAGGACTTAATTTTTAGACTTGTACAAGTTCCTTCTTACATTCTTTCCCTCTCACGCCATCCTACTGGAGAAAGCTTACTTTTACACTCAGATCGTACTTTAAGCTTTTTATGTGAACAAAAGATGTACATATGGTAAGCATTACTTCCGTAGTCCTCAAGTATACTATAACTTTTGTACTTAGTATGTGTTTTATATTTGGAAAACATCACTACTCTTAGTTTTCGTGTAGTTCCTGAGTGATGTCTGTGTGTTCCTTGCCTGCCCTATTTTGTGAGCACAGATTATTCTGTTATCCATGGCTGGCATTTCACTTACGATCCTTTCTCTGCTAGATTTTTATGCAGCTCTCTATGAAGTTTCATGGCCAATAGATATTGAAAAGCATGATATTCTATACATAAGTGTATATGTATATATACTCCTTATATTAATACTAAAGGGTTTATGCTGAGTTGCTGCCTTTCTCTGTAATGTATCCACATGCATGCTCTTAGAGACCTTGAATGGTTGAGGGTAAAGTGATTTATTAGTAATTCTACTTGCCTTGTGTATGTCTGAGCTGAAGACAATCATGATTAAGAAATTTAGAGGTGGCTGGGCACGGTGGCTCATGCCTGTAATCCCAGCACTTTGGGAGGCCGAGGCGGGTGGATCACCTGAGGTCGGGAGTTCGAGACCAGCCTGACCAACATGGAGAAACCCCATCT